TAAGAAATATACCAGGAATATTTGCGCGAATACGACAATCAATGAGGCGAAGAGTTGAATCTTGTGTCACGTCTGAGGGAGGTCATTTTGAACATTTGTTGTAGCTTTGCGCCTTTTCAAAATTTTATTAGTGTTATTTTCTGTTATTGTTCTGGTTTAATGTTATTGTATTAGATAGTTCTTGATAATGTATTAAAGAAATAAAAAATACGCGTTAAGATGTTTTATTTTTTTGCATCAAAACGGCGCCCCATACGAAGAAAAGGCAAGAGAGATTTTTTGTCACAAATTGAACGAGGAATTCAAAAATGATTTTTAATTTGTAATATCTCAGTGGCGTACCATTTTTTTCTTTAAAAAAATTGAGATTATTACCCGTACGCGCGCCAATGATGAACATAAAATTCTTAATTGCGTGTCAAAAAATGCGCAATAACTACCTCTTAAAACCCACCAAATTTCATTTGCACATCTCGACCGGTTTCAGAGCAATAAATTAAATCGTCAGTTTTTAAGAAAAACTTTGACACTCCGTATCTCGGAAAACGAATAATTTGCGGACATACGTTTATAAACAAACTGCCATTATTTTCTTATGTAGAATCACCCCCTGAAATTTGTCGCAGTTATTTACTAACACCCTGTATAAACCACGATAGAGAAGAGTGCAATTATAGCTTCGGCACCTAAAAATCCCTCGCCTGCGGCGCGGCGGCTCGGTATTTTAATGGTGCCTCAGCTATAATGGCATACTTCTCTACCTTGGTGTATAATGTACTATTTTGGGTTTTATGTAATTTTGTCGAAATCATTATTATACACTGTGTTTTAATTGAAATTTAAAAAATGGCTGAAACAGGTCAATTAGTAAATAGAATTTGTCACTTTTCTGCAATATTTTCTATTTCTTTGAGCCAAGATTGACAGATCTATACAGTGTGGATACAAATTGTGGAATATTGCTTATATTTCTTAAAATATTCGTCATATCAAAAACATGTTTTACTAAAAGTGTTAGGGGAAATTATTTCCCGTTTAGTGACATCAAGCAATCTTTCATATCACAAAAAATGTGGTTGCCAAGGTAACCGGCTTAATTTTTTTAAACGGCACCATATACTTTTTTTGGTGAAAATTAATACATTGGATCTTCCTAAATACGATACAATACAATTTTAATGGGGTCACATAAGAAAAAAATACACTAAATTCAATTTTTATAATTTTATTTTTAAAGTAAGGAGTCAAAAAATCAAAATATCAACGTTTTAAGCTAATTTTAATAGGATAAATGAAAATAATGGAACGGATGTGAATTAATTCATTAAATGTTCAAAATGACGGCCATTATTGTTCAGGCACATTCTTAGTCTCTTTAAAAACGAATCACTCAAGTTTGCCAATGTGTGGTGTCGAATTTGCCGTAGCTCGATTTTGATCCTCGCTTTAAGATCTTCCAGATCTACTGGTCTTTCTTTGTAGACTATAGTTTTTAAGTAACCCCACAAAAAATAATCACACGGATTGAAATCGGGTGACCTTGCTGGCCATTTAATGGCACCTCCGCGACCTATCCACCTTGCAGGAAACATTTTATTTAGATATCTCTTATGACCCTTCCATAATGTGGAGGAGCTCCATCTTGCTGAAACCATAATTGATGAATTGGACCTAGGGCCTCCAAAGCAGGTACAATTTGTTCTCTCAACTTGTCGGATATTTGTCGGCAGTTAGGTTCCCATCAATAAAAAATGGTTCAATATTATTTCCTAGTAATTTTTTCTGGTAGCTGGGTTCGAGTTTCTCGTATCCAGTGAGGATTTTCTTGACACCAATATCGATAATTTTGTTTATTTTAAAACCCATGAAGCATAAAAGTAGCTTCATCGGTGAACACAATCTTCTTGCCAAATTCCAAATCCATGTTAAATTTATCTAACATAGTGTTACAAAATTCAACACGTTTTGCAAGATCTTGAACGAGCTGCATCTTGTATGGATGAAACTTTTCCCTGTGGAGCTGTTTCAACATAGAACGGTGTTAAATGGCTTGTACCTTACCAACTTCCCGATTAGACAAATGTGGGTTCTCTTGTATTGACAGAAGCACATTTAAAGTAGTATCGTCATCAGTAGCTGTGTTTGGCCGCCCTGTATGTAATTTGTCTTTAACGCTTCCCGTCTCGTTAAATTTTTTTAACAATTTAGAAACACAAGATTGTGGTTATTTGAGGTATGTTTGGATGAAGTTCGTTAAACAACTCGCATACTTCCCGCTGTGTCCTTTTCCTGTCACCATATCCCACCACCATTAAAACCTGTATTCTTTCCGTTTCACTTAATTCAAGCGCCATTATAACTTACTAAGTACTTAAGTACACAGAAAATTGAGTAAAAAAGTACGTTTACTGCAACAATGTACACAATTACAAGCAGCTGATAGCTAGTGACAGTTTCGCATTGTTCTGATTTTGGTATGGCTAATTTGAGTTAATAATTATTTTGATAAACAGTGTCAAAAGCATAATAGAAAACTAAAATTTTTTGTATTTTTTTCTTATGTGACCCCATTAAAATTGTATTGTATCGTATTTAGAAAAGTTCAATGTATTAATTTTCACCAAAAAAAGTATATGGTGCCCTTTAAAAAAATTATGTCGATTACCTTAGCAACCACATTTTTTGTGCTACGAAAGATTGCTTGATATCACTAAACGGGAAATAATTTCCCCTAACACTTTTATTAAAACATGTTTTTGATATGACGAATATTTTAAGAAATATAAGCTATATTCCACAATTTGTATCCACACTGTATAGTATATCCGTTCTAAAGACGAATTCAGTGATATAAGGTTATACTTACCTACTTTTTTGTCATACTTATCAAAAAATGGAGGAATTAAATGCAAACAATAATTTAGCACTACAGTACTATTTTATTACAGAAAATGTTCAAAGTGGCCCCCATTAACCATTGCACAATGCCCAATTCGGTGTTCAAAGCTATCATTCATTTATTTTGAATAACGTTTGGTGTTTCGAACTTCTTCTGATGCGATTTTTCAATTCTTCGATAGTGTCTGGTCTGTTCACATACACTTTGATTTTTAGATAACCCCACAAAAATCTAGTGGGGTTAAGTCAGGGGAGCGTGGTGGCCATCCAAGCGGCCCTCTTCTGCCTATCCATCGATTTGGGAAAACTTCATTAAGGTAATTTCTTACATCGAGGCGAAAAGGTGGAGGGGCACCATCTTGTTGGAACCAAACATCACCAGCAAGCATATAGTACTTATTAGGGTCTGTCAAATATGGCTCAAAAAATATTTGTTGCAGAAAAGTGAATTTCTATTTACTAATTGACATGTTTCAGCGATTTTTTAAAATGTGAACTGGAAAAAAATATGAATTTTGTTCTATCATTCTGAGACATGATGTATATTTGAAATGCTTAACCAAACTTAAAAATTACACAGGCCGATAAAAAAAATGTTTTAGAGACGTAAAATTTTCCGCAGAATCCGAAGAAAAAAAATTTTTTTTCTGACGTATGGTTTCCCCCCAACATACTCAATTCCTCCAAAAATTTAAAATATTTAAATTGGCCATCCAACTCACTTATCTTTAGTAAAATTTTCCGATGAATCCGAAAATGAAAAAAAAATATGATGTATGGATTCCGCCCCACACAGCCACAATTCCCCCAAAAATTCAAATAATCTAAACTGGCCATCCAACCTACTTAGTAAAATTCGCTGAATCCGGAAATGGCAAAAAAAATTTTTGGACGTGCATGGGAGATCCCCCTCATTCGTATCTCTCATTTGTTTCTTTCAAAAATAAAAATAAATTTAAATCAGACGTGGCAACCGTTGTAACTTTTATGAAATCTGTCGGTAAAACCAAAACTAAAAAATAATTTTGAACTAAAAGTTCCCTTTGCCCGTACACTTTAACCTCGTCTCCAGATAATATTTACGAATTACGATTAGCATCCTAGCATTGATGAAATTTTTTAATGAAAGTTTATTGTAATCCAAAATGTTTTAATGTTTTAAGTAATTTTAAAGTTACTTAAGAGCTTGAAACATTTTGGAAAACTAAGATTTTTTATGCTATTTGAGTTGAATTGAGGGTGTGTGAGGGGGAATCCATACGTCATAATTTTTTTTATCATTTTTGGATTCCGCGGAAAATTTTACTAAAGATAAGTGCGTTGAATGACTAGTTTGGATTTTCAGAATTTTTCGAGGGAATTGAAGATTGGTTGGGGTGTAATCCACACGTTAGAAAAAAATTTTGAATCATTTGCGGATTCAACGGTAAATTTTACTAAAGATGGGTAGGATCACGTCCCTAAAACAACAAAAAAAATTGTCGGACTATGTCATTCATTTAGAAAATAAAAGTAAACAACTTATAAAACTGTACACAGCTATAAAAATGTTTTATTTATTATTTTTATAACTTAAAATTAGTTCCAAAACAGAAGTATCAATACAAAAAAGTTGAGGATCTTTAGTCTAATACAAAATAAAACTTTTACATAAAGCTTTAAATTTTAAGTTTAATATTTTAGCAAAATATTATAAAACACGGTATCAGCAAATGGAAATTTTCTTTGTACACCTACAAAGATAGGTACATCCACTTAGAAATATCTTGTCAATACTTAGATATATCTGTTGTCAATTGTATTCATCTACATCAACACGTTATCATTTACAATTGTTTATTTACTCTTTCATATTTGGGTAAGGACAACTTTTAAGTCTTGTCTACGTCTGGTAGTAGGTTTATATATTATAAAATTCGTTTAAACATTCTAAATCTGTATATTAAAAACATATACAGAAGCACAGTACCCCGCGAAAGTGAAATTACGACTGGAACTTTCCACAGATCGATTACAGTGTTACATCAATATTAGGATAGGTTATGTTAGAGAGACACACTGGAATTACAACAGAAAACAATGATAAATTTGAAAACACTTACTGTTGAGGTCGCTAACTGAGGGTACTCTAGGGAAACGCCTCCACAAACCCATATTTTTTGTTCAACTTTTTCTAACTCTCGCCGAATACGTTTATTAATAGAGAACCTATACTTAGGAAATACGAGAATGAGGTACGATACCGGTTCGCTGTATAGTGTCAAACAAACGCTGGATTTAGCAAGGGCTTAGTTCCTGCTTAGTTGCCAAGTTTATCCCGTTTTTAATCAGGCAAAGCGAAATCTGCGCTAGGTTTTTTAACATTGATCAGAATAAATAAGTCAACATTATCGCGTCAAAATTCACTATTTTCTACTTTTAGTATTCTTTTGTTTTATAATAAATTATGTGAGTTGCTATAACACTGATATTTCATCTAAGAGAAAATTAATAAATGAAAAATGACTTAATATTATTATTATTTTTTTAATGACAAATTTTTGTGGGTATTATGCTATATTTTCTAATATTTCATCTTTCTCTTTTATGAAATGACGAAACGTTACTTTTCCATCTAATTGTGTACTTCTGTCACCGAAAGAATTAAGCGAAGAGTTCATTTTACGAATTTAGGTTTGTGTCTGCTGACCTAATTTGGCGCAAGGGGATTTTTATTACTTTTTTTCCTTTAGTGTGGCGGATATACCCAATTAAGTAAAAACAACAATAAATATTTACAGACAATGCCAGAGCGTTGCATAACATTCTTCGCTTTTTCTGATAGTGTTTCTATCAAATCTATTCCGAAATTTTTAAACACTATAATTATTATAAAAAAAAAGTAACTTGTCAAATAGCCTTTAATCTTGCATATTCATAATTTAAAATCAGTTTATAAGGATATGGTAATGAACATTCATTAGAAAAATTTTGGTAATTTCTTCAAAGTTCCGAAGAATCATACACTTTGGCAACATCGACCAGTTCGATTAAAGCACCAAGGTGTGCGACTTGCGAATGCGCCATCACTCGCTGGAAGAGTGGAAGAGTGATCCAAAAGAATGTTTTCGAATATTCTAGGTCTACGTCAGTCTTCACAGGTGAGAAAATAATGGTTAGGACAACAAGATAATTTTTGTGGATAATATTGTGTAGTCTGCAATTAAATAATTAGTCATATAGGTATACATATCAACTTCTGATATCAAAGGTCGAGTATATTTCAAATTAGTTTATTAGTCCAGTCGGGTTAGACAAAACAAGGGCTTAACCGGGAAAAAATTAGAGACCACAATTCTATTGTTCTAACCTTTAGGGGGGGTCAATAGTAGTGTAAATTCAGAATCGGGACTGAATTCCACCCATGCATCAGCCGCCATCTTGAATTTAAGGAAAAATCGTTTTTGCTCAATATCTCGGCCATTTTCAACTTTACAACAAAAATGGTAAGGCCTTAAGTTGTTGCAAATACTATTTCCTACAACTTCTTTTATTACAAATTTTATCGTGCGATCGATATTTTTCAAGTTAAGGAGGAAAATAGTGACAAAATATAATTATTGAATTATCCAGTTTGTTATTGACTTTACGACATAAATGTACATAAACAAAGTTGGAAAGAATTATATTTTCTACAATTTTGATCGCTTTGATTTTTTCGGTACTACCGACATTTAAGGTCCTACGCCTATGGCAAGCCTAACTCAACTCAAGGGATCAACATTCCATAGGCCTGACGTCACCGGAAGCTGGCCATGAACAAGAATGGTCCAAACTTTATAAGAAAAAATAAATTTAAAAAAAAAACATGGCTTACACCTTTAACACTTGCAAGAAACTTTTATAAAGAGGAAGACGGCAGAAGTCGCAACTATCTTGCAAGCAATGACACGTGGATTAGGCCTAATACCACGTAACAAAACGCGCCTGAAACTCTACCCCGGTGGTGATGTGGAAAAGAGTTTGCAAAAACGATTTTCATATTGCTCTGCGCCTTTACCGCAAGCATAGGACCTTAAACGTTGGTAGTAGCGAAAAAATCAAAGAGATCAAAATTGTATAAAATATAATTCTTTCCAACTTTGTTTATGTATATTTATGTCGTAAAGTCAATAACAAACGAGATAATTCAATAATTATACTTTGTCAATATTTTCCCCCTTAACTTGAAAAATATCGATCGCACGATAAAATTTGTAAT